ATGAGTGAAGTGTTTGACGGTGATTCTAAAGATTCGACGGCACTCATCTGCATGTCATACTGACTGACAGTAATTATTTCTCTTCCCCAGCAAATAAAATTATTTGTATCCATTACTTATGGTGATAATTTACTCCGCATAGAATTCACAATATATCGTCTTTTTGACAGGTCTGCTCTAGTCAGCTGCTAACTTTTTTCTTATGTTTAATATTCATAGGAGTGAATGAACAATTTCCTGAGAAAGTCTGACTACTGAACCCAGCCTAAAGTGGAGTGAGAAAATAATGGTGAGGTTGAGCTGGGGAAATTTTAAACATAGGAACTATAATATCCTGACATATTAGTTGGATACACCATACAGTGCCTTAAAAAAGTATTCATACCCCTTGAGATTTTCCAACTTTTGTCATGGCACAACCAAAAACGTAAATGTATTTATTTGGATTTTATGTGATAGACCAACACAAAGTGGCACATAATTGTGAAGTGGAAGGAAAATGATAAATGGTTTTCAACATTTTTTACAAATAAATATCTGAAAAGTGTGGTGTGCATTTGTATTCAGCCCCCTTTACTCTGATACCCTTAAATAAAATCTAGTGGAACCAATTGCCTTCAGAAGTCACCTAATTAGTAAATAGAATCCACCTGTGTGTAATTTAATCTCATTATAACTACGGCTGTTTTGTGAAGCCCTCAGAGGTTTGTTAGAGAACACTAGTGAACAAACAGCATCATGAAGGCCAAGGAACACACCAGAAAGGTCAGGGATAAACTTGTGGAGAAATTTAAAGCAGGGTAGGTTGCAATAAAATATGCCAAGCTTTGAGCATCTCACAAAGCACTATTCAACCCATCCTCCAAAATGGAAAGAGTATGGCATAACTGCAAACCTACCAGGACATGACCGTCCACCTAAGCTGACAGGCCAGGCAAGGAGAGCATTAATCAGAGAAGCATCGAAGAGGTCCATGGTAACTCTGGAGGAGCTGCAGAGATCCACAGCTCAGGTGGGAGAATCTGTCCACAGGACAACTATTAGTCGTGCCTTTATGGAAGACTGGCAAGAAGAAAGCCATTGTTGAAAGAAAGTCATAAGAAGTCCCATTTGCAGTTTGCGAGAAGCCATGTGGGGGAAACAGCAAACATGTGGAAGAAGTTGCTCTGGTCAGATGAGACCAACATTGAACTTTTTGGCCTAAAAGCAAGACGCTATGTGTGGCGGAAAACTAACACTCACATCATTCTGAACACACATCCTCACTGTGAAACATGGTGGTGGCAGTATCATGTTGTGCGGATGCTTTTCTTCAGCAGGGACAGGGAAGCTGGTCAGAGTTGATGGGAAGATGGATGGAGCCAAATACAGGGCAATCTTAGAAGAAAAACTGTCAAGAGTCTGCCAAAGACTTGAGATTGGGGCAGAGGTTCACCATCCAGCAGGACAGTGGAAACATAGTACAGTGGAATAGTTTAGATCAAAGCATAGTCATGTGTTAGAATGACCCAATCAAAGTCCAGACCTAAATCCAATTGAGAATCTGTGGCAGACACTCTCCATCCAATCTGACAGAACTTGAGCTATTTTGAAAAGAGGAATGGGTAAAAATTTCACTCTGTAGATGTGCAAAGCTGGCAGAGACATATCCAAAAAGACTTGCGGGTGTAATTGCAACGAAAGGTGGTTCTACAAAGTATTGACTCAGGGGGGCTGAATACAAATGCACGCCACACTTTTCACATATTTATTTGTAAAAAATTTTCAAAACCATTTTTCATTTTTCACTTCACAATTATGTGCCATTTTGTGTTGGTCTATCACATAAAATCCCAATAAAATACATTTACGTTTTTGGTTATAATAAGACAAAATGTGGAAAATGTCAATGGGTATGAATACTTTTTCAAGGCACTGTATGTACAGGTTTTGAAACATGCCATGTTCAAAGTCGCTTAAATCCCCTTTCTTCCCCAATCTGTTGCTCAATTTGATGTTCAGCATGTCATCTTCACCACGTCTAGATGCCTAAATGCGTTGAGTTGCTGCTATGTGTTTGGCTTATTAGCAATTTTGTTACCAAGCAATTGAACAGGTGTACCTAATAAAGTGGCCGGTGAGTGCATGTTTATATATATATATATTAATTATACACTACTCTGAAAAAGTTTAAGGCAGGTGTTAAAAATGCTGTAAATTAGGAATGTTTTCAGAAGTAGGAGTGTTTTATAGTTTATTTTTATCAATTAACAAAATGGAAAGTAAATGAACAGAAGAGAAATCCAAATCAAATCAATATTTGGTGTGACCACCCTTTGCCTTCAAAACAGCATCAGTTCTTCTAAGTACACTTGCACACAGTTTTTGAAGAAATTCAACGGGTAGGTTGTTCCAAACATCTTTGAGAACTAACCACAGATCTGTGTCAAATCCTTCTATCTCTCCATGTAGTCCCAGACAGACTTCATGATGTTGAGATCAGGGCTCTGTGTGGGCCAAACCATCATTTCCAGGGCTCCTTGTTCTTCTTTATCCTAAATATAGTTCTTAATGACATTGGCTGTATGTTTAGGGTCATTGTCCTGCTGCAGAATAATTTTGGGGCAGATCACACAGCTCCCTGATGGTATGGTCTGATGAATAATTATCTGCCAGTATTTCTCAACATTGAGGACACCATTGACCATGCTCAACTGTTGCCTGCAGGCAGTCATTATTGTACCAGTCTCCAGCCCTTCGGTGGACAAACTGCCTCTTGCTACAGCCAAATCTTTAAAATGTTGACTCATCAGATCAGAGCACCTGCTGCCATTTTTATTAACCCCAGTTCCTATGTTTTTGTGCATAGTTGAGTTGCTTGTTTCCATGTCAGAGATATGGCTTTTTGCCCACAATTATTCCATGAAGACCTCTTCCGGCCAGACTTCTCCAGACAGTAGATGGGTGCACCTGGGTCCCTCTGGTTTCTGCCAGTTCTGTATTGATGGTACTGCTGGACATCTTCTGAGGTTGAAGGGCAGTAAGCATGATATCTTTAACAGATATTGTTTTCACTTATCAAATTATATTTAGAATTGACCAAATATAACCAATGATTGAAAATGTTGGGTTTACCTATTCTTTACATTTCCTCAGCTGACCACTGCGTCTATGGTCCTCATTGTTGCCCATTTCTTTGTGCTTCTTCAAAAGAGCTTGAACAGCACATCTTGTTTGCGGTATAACTACCTTGTGTCTTGTTGCTGTGGTCAGTCTTGCCATTGTGTATGACCTGTGAAGTGAAAATGTCTTCCACAACCTCACCTTAGTAGCAGAGTTATGCAGGCCATAGATGGGTCGAAAATCGGCCGATTTTTCGGCCGAAAATGAAATCGGCCGATTTTCGGATCGTTAGTGGGCTATTTGTTCGGCCGTTTTTTCGGTATTTTGGCAGATTTTTTTTTTTCGGTAAAGTTGGGGAAAAAAAACGGCCGATTTTTGCGGCAATGATGGGCAAATCGGCCGATTTTTTACCGATAAAAAATCTGCGCATGAGCAGTGACCTGCAAGAGGAAGACAAAAAGAAGAAGAGGATGATGATGATGATGAAGAAGAAGAGGATAATGATGAAGAGGATGATGATGAAGAGAGGATGATGAAGAAGAGGATGATGAAGAAGAGGATGATGATGAAGAAGAGGATGATGATGAAGAAGAGGATGATGATGAAGAGGATGATGAAGAAGAAGAGGATGATGATGAAGAAGAGATGAGAGATGATGAAGAAGAAGAGGATGATGATGAAGAAGAGGAGGAGATGAGAAGAAGGATGATGATGAAGAGGAGGAGGATGGTGAAGAAGAGGATGATGATGGTGAAGAAGAAGAGGATGATGATGGTGAAGAAGAAGAGGATGATGATGGTGAAGAAGAAGAGGATGATGATGGTGAAGAAGAAGAGGATGATGATGGTGAAGAGGATGACGATGATGGTGAAGAAGAGGAGGAGGATGAAGAAGAAGAAAAAGAAGAAGTAAATATGAAAAATAAGAGGAATTCCAGTCCAGCAAAAAGCGTCCCTGCAGAGAGCTCTGCTATTTCTTTGACAGTTCCTTGACATTTACAGCGGTTGCAACATTGTATCTATTTGTTTCCGAATAAAAACATCTGTATCCTAAATGGAAAGAAATAGATACATTGTTGCAACCGCTGTAAATGTCAAGGAACTGTCAAAGAAATAGCGGAGCTCTCTGCAGGGACACTTTTTGCCGGCTGTAGACGGGATGAAAATCGGCCGATTTTTTTTTTTTACCATTGATGGTAACGTCGGCCGCTTGAACGACCGATTTTTCGTTTTTTAAAAGAAAAATCGGCCGTTTTTCTCCCCGTCTATGGCCTGCATTAGGCTGTTCCTTAACCAGTTTTAAGCCTCCTACCCATCTATGTCTGTTTCAGTTAATGGCTGTGTTTCAACCTACATATGAAACTGATGATCATTAGCATCTGCTTGGTATATTTGCTTAATCATACACCTGACTCTAATCCTATAAAAATCCCTGACTTTGTGCAATTTTACAAAGTGTGCAAATGTAAGAGTTGATGCTGGTTTGAAACCAAATGGTAGTTACACCAAATATTGGTTTGATTTTTCTTTTGTTTGCTCACTTTGTGTTTTGTAAATTGATAAAAATAAACCATTACAATTTATGTTTTAGAAAGATTTTTAACTTTACAGCATTTCATCACACCTGCCTAAAACTTTTGCACAGTACTGTATGTTATCGGGAAAAGATTTTAACATTTTGGCAGCCATTCTTGTGATATAGCAGGATAATTACCCTGCTGCTTCCTAGTTTTCATTTACTGTTTCCAGGGTAGTTTTTTGCTTCCTGTGTCAGTAAAGATAGACAATATATATGTATTTCAAATGTATATTTACCTGTTCTCTTCTTATGTAACTCAGATGACAGAGTTACTAATAAACTGACAAGTATGTAAAGATATTTTCTATTTATCTCACAAGCTGCTGGGTGAGCTGATCTTGGATCGACACAACTTCTCCATTATGACAAAGTACATCAGCAAACCAGAAAATCTGAAGCTCATGATGAACCTACTTCGAGATAAGAGCCCCAACATTCAGTTTGAAGCTTTCCATGTCTTTAAGGTGAGTTATTAGGGCAGTTGTACGGAAGGGGGCCGCTCTGTGTTTTGTCAGAGAGCAGGGAAGACATATGGAAGATATCTTAGCGGAGAGCCAGAAAACGTGCATGAGGCCTGTGGCCAGAATCTTTTGCACGTCACGGATAATGGAGCAAATAACTTGGATCTATTTTTACATGCTGCGTAGGGTATGATGAATGGAAGAATGTTCAATGTGCTTTTACCTTGTTCTGGTCCAACAAGAAATATGGAAACCTCTTTATTTATATAGTTATTCACTGTTGACCTATTTTGTACTTTGCAGTGGACTTTACAGACTAAAATAATTACCACAGTGATTACTACATATTTTTTCTGTATTAAAACTTTGATTTTGTTGATTCACTTTAAAATGTACATTTCACTATCCCGGGCAATGAAAACTGAGCATACAATGAAAAGATTACTGTAGATCAAAATATTCAATAACTCTAAAGGTAAAGACCACCTAAAGTTCTATCCAGTTCTTGATTTTCCTGGCTTACTCCTCTCAAGCTTCTCTGTTTGTCAGTGAGGCAAGTCTGTCTTATTAAAGGACCAATGTGGGTGGCTTTGGAGGCAAGATGGGTTGAAGCAGGATTTACCAAAACAGTTGAAGTTTGCTTATAACAAAGTATATCCAAAGACAAACTTTTTTTAGTTTTGGAAATAATAGAATGGTGGATAAACCCATCAGGAATTGTTTTGCTGTGTGTGTCCCATTAGGGAGTTTTACCTTCACTGTTTTCTGGAGAGACCGCAGGAAAACCTTTCCAACTGAAAGAAAATCCCCTTTTAGACATTTGGTGCATGTGTCCCCTTTGGAAGATTTCCCCTCTACTACTGTTCTAGTGGACACTTGAAATTTTGCATTTTAGCTCATTTTCAGACTTTCTGACATTGGTTAGGCAGACAAATAATAGTGTAAATCTCAACAGCAGGGTCATAGAATTAACCACTTGCCCTCCGATAGATTTTACCCCCCTGCGTCATTTTTTTCATTGACAATTATGTGGTCATGCAACACTACTCAAATGACATTTTTTCACACAAGTAGAGATTTCTTTTGGTGGTATTTAACCATTAGCCGCCCGGCGGCTTCAAAAGTGCTTCTGCACTCCGGGTGCACGCCATTTGGCGTGCTCCCGCACATGCGCAGTTTGCGCTAATGCAGAGCGGCGCAGCAGCGCGATCTGTCACCGGCCGGTGTACCTCGGACACGGCCGATGACAGATCTGAGTACCGGCCCCCGTTGCAGGTACCATGTGACCTGCTGTGACCAATCACAGCAGGTCACATGACAGTTGTATACAATGGATGGCTTCATTCATGATGCCATCCATTGTATACTAGTGCCTAGCTGTGAATGGTCACAGCTAATCACATGCACATGTCATGTGATTAGCTGTGACCAAATCACAGCTAAGCACAAAAAAAAAAAGCTGAATGAATCCATTTCATTCAGGTAAATGCTTGCTTATAGCAAAGTATTTCTTTGCTATAAGCAAATTGTGTAAAAAAAAAAAAAAAAATACCGATCACTTTCCCAAAGTAGTACAATGTTACTATGGTAACATTGTACTACTTTGGTCATAGTAAAATATGAAAAAAAATCTTAAAAAAAATAATAAAAAGTAATAAAAAATTAAAAATAATAAAAAAAAAAAAAAATATATATATTTTTTTTCATACTGTCACCAGTCAGTGTCCCTGTTCACCGCCATGCCAGTTATATGATGACGCTGTACTGCACTGGTGACAGTATGTAAAAAAAAAATAGTGAAAATAATTTTTTTAATTTTCCGAAAAATTATGACAAAAAAAAATACAACTTCAAAAAACTCGCCATTCCTCTTATGAAGTACGTCGGACTGTCTACTCTGCAAAAAGGGGTCATTTGGGGGATATCTGTACTGTTCTGACATTCTTAGACCTCAAGAAATTAGATTGGCTGTCAGTACTTCAGGATTGATCAATATTCAGATCTATACCATAGTTTGTGAACTCTATAACTTTCCTACAAACTAAATAATACATCCTAATTTGGGTTATTTTCACCAAAGACATGTAGCAGAATACATCTCGGCCTAAATTTATGAAGAACAATTATTTATTTGTAAACTTTTATAACAGAAACAAAGAAAAATGTGTTTTTTTTTCAACATTTTTGGTGTTTTTTTGTTAATTTAGCAAAAAATAAAAACCCCAGCGGTGATTAAATACCACCAAAAGAAAGCTCTAGTTGTGTGAAGAAAATGATAAAATTTTAGTTTGGGTACAATGTTGTATGACCGCGCAATTGTCATTCAAAGTGTGAGAGCGCTGAAACGTGAAAAATGGCCTGGGCAGGAAGGTGTAAAATTGCACGGTATTGAAATGGTTAATCACAACTGGGTTTTTATTTTTTTTTTTTTTACATGAAAAAAGACCGACATTTTTGGAACCCCCCCCCCCCCCCCCCCAATTTTTTTTTTTACTTTCTGCTATAAAACAACGTATCCAATAAAAAATGTAAAAAAATCTAATTTCATACATTTAGGCCAAAATGTGTTCTGCTACATATTTTTGGTTACAAAATCCCAATAAGTGTATATTGATTGATTTGTGGGAAAGTTATAGTGTCTACAAATGGAATTTTTTTTTTTATACTAGTAATGGTGGGGATCAGTGACTTATAGTGGGACTGTGATAGTATGGCGGGCAATCTGACACTTTGTGGGAACCAGTGACACTAATACAGTGATCAATGCTAATAATATAGACTGACACTGTGCTAATGACACAGGCTAGGAAGGGGTTAACATCTAGGGGCAGTCAAAGGGTTAACTGTGTGCATAACAGCTCTTGGTGTATGTACTGTGTTGTGATTTTATGAAGGCATGTGCCTAAATGTATTCCCTTTTTATTCCCCCTTTGCAGGCGTGAAAAAAAAAAATCAGTTCATCCCCACTGTCAGGACAGAGCTCTGTGTTGTTTACAATCAAGAGTTCTGTCCTGTCATCCTCTTCACCGATCAGCAGGTCCCAGCCATCAATCATTGGCCATGACCCACTGATCCGTTTGTGCTGTGACTAATCACAGCACAGCCAAGGTTGACTGGCATGAGCCCCCTACCCTGAATAGCTGGATCACGTATTGGATATGTGATCCCATGCAGGAGAGCCGCTCTGCCACTGTACTCATACATGAGGCGGTTTGCAAGCGGTTAAAAACCTTGAAGGTTCTTTCTCCTTTATCGAATGCTTCCCCACACCTGGAAGCACTGAGTGCGTGACAGTGGCAGCCACTGAGGAAGGAGCAGGGGGACAGTGGTGGAGAGGTGAATATAAAGTGGTCAGAGGGTGGATTTTAACACACACTATCATTCTCTGAATGGCCAAGGTGATAGATTTTTTTTTTTAAGGATTCAGCCTTTAGATTGTTTGCCTTGTTTTTCTTTTACAAAATTAGAGTACCTTCTTGTATTCCCTGAAATTGTTACTTTTCTCTTCCACTGCAGGTATTTGTAGCAAATCCAAACAAAACGCAGCCAATTGTGGATATCCTGCTGAAAAACCAGACAAAGCTAATTGAGTTCCTGAGCAGCTTCCAGAAGGAGAGGACAGATGATGAACAGTTCTCCGATGAAAAAAGCTACTTGATCAAACAAATACGAGACTTGAAAAAACCCAATCCATGAACCTGTCTCCAGCTTCTACCAGCCATCTTCAGAATAAGTGTTTTAAGGAGTTGTCATGGCATCGTCAGTGCCTATGTTTTTGTTTCAATTTAGTTTATTAGCTGCCAAGAGTATACAGTTTTATATTAAAACTTTAAAAAAATGTTCTTCTTAATCAGGTCTGTGAGGAGGTGAAATTTTGCAGTTAGGTGTCCATGTTGACCTCACAAACATGGAAAAAGTTGGACTGTCACTGATGCCGACAACATAGAGTCAATATCTTGTCAATAATCTGTAGTTTTTGCTTTAGCCTTTTCTATGTACAGTTCTAGAACATGGAGTGAGATTGTCAGTTAACATTCCATTGTCAGCTCTCAACCCTGTCACACTGGTTCAGAGAAATGGATTATGCTACAGCAACCATTCTCTTACCCAAGAACCCACCTGAGATGTATAGCACTTTGTTTACCCCCAGTGGAGCCTTTACTGGAAGGAATTTGACATATGGTCCTCCTATTGAGATCTAGTTGTACTCCGTGAACTCTAAATGTAAGATCCCAATCAGTAAGAATTTGTAACTAACAAAGGCTATGTGCTCCAATTTATTGATCTCTCCTGTATTCTGTTTTAGTGCTGAAAGCTGGATTCACATCACATGTGTTGTGTTTAGAGCGCGTTGACGCACCAATTGCATTTGAATTGAATTGCGTGGACATGTGTTTTTAACACACACTGTTGATGTGTGTTCTGTTGTTTGGTTTACAGCTGAAGCCAAAATACTTATATACTTCTTTCCTTAATGTGTTTTAATGTATTGCTTTGGTACTTGCTGGGTGGAAATAGATCTCAGCTCCTGATTATGTTGGGCCTGCCTTGAGCAAAGCATCTCAATGCACTTGCTGTGACTAGGCCCTTATGGAGAAAGGTAAAATACATGTCTATGTAAAGACAATAGATCTTTATACAAGACATCACTGCAGTGCAGTGATCATAAATTGCTGAAAATAATGCAGTTTACATATATACAAGCCCTTAATATCGACATGAGAGCAGTTTGGTGATTAAGGTGGTGCTTGGATTAAGCCAGAAAAGAATATAGTGAATTCACTAGACTGCAATGTTAAAAATGAATACTAAAACATGTAAAAATATGAATGATATTGTTACGGGCTCAGATACCATGAAAAAGTCAGCTATAAAAAAATGACATTGCTTTTGAAATGCCATGGCAAGAGCTTTTACACACTGCATCTGTCTGTTCAGAGCCACTCTAGAACCTGTGCTGAGAATGGGAAATTCCTTAACTTACAGTGAACGATGAATACAGAATACAGAATGGATCTTGGTTTAGTACATAAGATGTGTACTTCAGACAACCTGCTAAGAAGCACAGTGAATAAGTATCCTCTGAACCTGCAGCTTTTATCACATAAGTAGGAATTTACCATGTACACATAGGGGTTGATTTACTAAAACTGAAGAGTGCAAAACCTGGTGCAGCCCTACATAGAAACCAATCAGCTTCCAGGTTTTTTTTTTTTTTTTTTTTTGTCAAAGCTTAATTGAACAAGCTAAGGTTAAAGGATGATTGGCTACCATGCACAGCAGCACCAGACTTTGCACTCTCCAGTTATATTAAAGCACCCCTCATTGTATTATCATTTTTTTGCGCATTCCATATATAAAGTCAATTCATAAAAGATGGGTTGCATTGGAATTTTTTCCTCACAGTTTAGCTAACTTCTAGCTAACAGTGAGTTTATCATCAATAATATGTCCATTTTTAAGAACAGGAAAAGGAGCCCTTACTGGAGGGGATAAAGTAACAAATTATAGGATAAAATACTAATTCCAGAGAAACAGGGTATTTCAACAGTTAAATGTTCATTTCATTTACAAATATAACAATACCACAACAATAAAATATTAATTTTAAATTAATTTGCCAGAATAAGGAATACCTGTAAAATCAATAACATGGCTATGAATTGATACTATTCAGTTACATACTAAACCTATTTAGATGTGAATCTAATGACTTGTAGGGTAGAAGTACCCTCTAAGCACCGCCCGCCATCCACTTATTAGATTAAGAGCCAATTTACGTTCTTGACCAGAGCTGGTGGAACACATCTAGGATTAATAGTAGTGAATAAGGCCGGCTTCACACTGCCCCTTTTGCTAAAGTGCAGCTAATCCATGGTTTTCCTGTGAGTTAGCTGCACTGTCCCATACAGTTTCTTCTATAGGGTCCTGGGGTTTTTGTGTGGTTTCAAAAAGTGCACCAAAACTCTTGCATGCTGCATCTTTGGTGCACTTTCTGAAAACGCACTAAAGCTGTGGCACATCATAGAAGTCTATGGAAAAAGCACAACTAAACCACAAACCTGTTGTTTCAGACCATTTTCATCTCCAAATACAGGATGGAAGTTTTAATAAACTATTTTTTCCAGTGTATCAAAAAGCAGACACTGGTACTTGTTACTGCTGAATGCAGGATTTGACAGCAGTTCTCTTTCAACAGCTTGTTTAAAGTGAAAATAATACATTGTACAAATTATACATCACCGTGCAAAGTGAAGTCTGCATTGCCGTATGGCTGACATAATATTTTAACCATAACTTTGGGAGCTGTAGTAGTTTGTAGCAGACCCCATTAAATTCCTGTATAAAGTACCTCAACCTTTGGAGCACTGAGGGTTAAAAGCGCTAATATGTAATAACAGAACTTATGTTGCAGTTCACAATACGGTCAAACTCCACCAAAAAGCCCTGTAAGGCAGAGCAATTAAATAATCAGATTTTTCTTAGCAAGCAGTAAATGAGCGTTAAGCCATTACTGACCTTTGTAGCTGCAGGAACTGTGGAGCATTGTGTCCTCAAATTTTTTTGCAGCAGAAGCACAGCAGTGATTTGAGCATGAATTCCTCCACAATACCTACAGCTCATTTACTGCTTGTTAGGAATGTATAAATAGTTTAATGTCTAAAGTCTGGCCACAGGTTCAGGTTCATAGCTTTTACACACCGTTGACATATTCATTGGGGCTAATGGGAAATGTTAACATTTTTCCAGTTGCTTTGAAGTAGCTGGAGGCATAGCTAGGTCTATGAAACACCTACAGGTACTTCATTCCACAAATACAGCTGTGTCTTAGGTTAACACACAGCAAAACAATTAACATTTCCTACTGGGGGCATAACAGAACATAATCAATGGTCTGCAAAGCTGATCATTTCACGTGAGCGCATTCCAGGACGTTGGACATAAACTTTATGGGGAATTTCAGAAAAGCAATGAACTGCTTAATATGAATGTAGCCAGAAAACTATGTGTTCTATACCAGTCTTCAGAGCAGTCCTGTGCTTTGTATAATGTCACCTGACAGTCAGAAGTGATGAAACCGGTGACAACTCTGGTGCCTGTGTACACTGCTCAACTGTGACTGGGCATTCTCATCTTGTCTGTCTTCACATGAAATGTCAGTCTGCACAGCATTCGCCCTGGCGGTGGCTGCCTGCACCATATATTGTAAGAGGTCCTCTCATTGAGCAAGTTAATTTTTATGGCGTTCAAGACATAAGGCATAAACCAAGCTATTGTTTTCTATTTTTATATCTAAGTAGGCAATGGAGCTAGCTTTGTAAAAGAATGAATCTGTATTAATACAACTTTAATATATTGTTCTATTTCAATTTTTGTTTTTAATTTGAAGTGCTTGACTATCTTTCATCTGCAGAGACTCTGCAGTGTTAATGGATATTGGTAAATAGGCCCTATTTTTCCTGGTCCCTTTCTAATACTGAGTGGGTAATGATGTGTGTGTGCCCACATATAATTAACCTTGGTGTGAGCAGCGCCTATAAAAAGACTGTGACAGCATTTTTACAAAGGTACATTGATGAAGGTTAATCTTCTCTGAAAACAAATGAAGGGGTTGCCAAAAGCAACTAGAGTGATGTCTTCATTCATTTTCCAAGCTTTAGGAATTGTCAGATTTTAGTTGTTATCAGTTGTGAGCGTGTTCTTGAATATACAGTGGGCTTCAACTTTAAAATCAAATGGATTCGAAGGTACAGGTTTTCTACAGCTGCAATACCAGCTATTCTGGTAGGTTGCTCTGGAAAGCACCGCTGATTTTCTTTTGTAATGGTTTTTGTAAACGGGGCCCAATGTGTTACCTCAAATGGGTACAATTCTGGTCTATATAATATGGATATATTTACTGTGCACTGAGTCTGCTTGTTTGAACTTGTAATTGTAAAGTTAAAGCCACTTCAGCCTAAACTTTTTATGTTTTAAATAGACTGAGGAAGAATTAAAACTTCTTTCAAGTCTCAGGGCTTGTGTGTTAATCCACCGAGGAGATGTCCATCCCATACACATACCTCTAAAGCTACGTTCACCACTGTAGTCAGAATGAAGAGAGGACAGCACTCCCTAAATGTTGTCTGCGTCTTTACTCAAAGGCTGTTGTCACCTTTATAAAGGGGCCTACACGTCCCTGAAATGTTGGATTAAGAAACAAACTTTTGAGCAAATACTTGATATTTCATATTGCTGGCCTTCCACTGAGAAGATTACCCCGCATTTTTTATCTGTCTGATACCAAAACAAGAAAATTGGGGAAAATTAGGGTCACTAGGATAGTAAGACACTGATCACAATAAGGCTGCTTTCACACTGATCCATTTTTCTTTCGCTTTTGCATTAAAAAAGCATGATGTGACCATGTAATCCTATGGAATTTTTCACTGATCCATTAAGGGTCCTCTGTGTTTTTCTTAAAATCCTGCTTGCTGCAGGTTTGGTGTGGTAAAAAAAAAAGGGAAATGTGGCAAAAATGCACCCACATTGCATTTTTGGTTCTGTTTTTGATTCACATGTCCTGTACAAAATGCACCGCAAACATGGTAAAAACACACAGCAAAAACACATATGTTTGAAAGCAGCCTAAAAAAACACTGAGGACCTAACTTTTCTCCCCTCTGTTCCCAAGACAGGAAGGGAGGGGAAATCGG